CCATCACAACCCCTCCTAAGTATTAACTTCACAGGAGTCATAATACCTTTTTTTCTTTGGGTTAACGACGATTAAATCTGTCATTTTTCTTTTCCTCTTTTATCTGGTATTGCTCCGGGGTCGCATGAAGTATTAGCATGCCAAAAGTATTGTAAATGACATACATGACTTCTTTTTCTTCAGGAGGACTGCTGTTAGCATCAGCCGACATGCGTTTCCTGATTGGTTGAAATTTTTCTTGTAAGTAAACTGGGGACCTTTAATTATGTAAATCATATTTCCTACTCTTTTCTTAATTGTACCCATTTCCCAGAAATATTTATTATCATGAAACATCCCCCAAAAAAAACTTTCTCTCCGGGTTAGTAGTGTTTTTTGGTACAGTGTTTGTTCTTCCGGGTTTTGTTTGTTTGGGGAGTAGCTTGTCAAACACAGACCTGATTTTACGCGCAAACATTACCTCGGCTGGGGGTAATGATGATGGTCTGTTGTCGTTGAGCGTAAATCTATACACCTGGAGGAACTGTTTTAGGGCTTTTTCTGTGGGTGTGTCCCTAGCTTTCTTCAGGGCTCTTTTCAGCGTATCAACGAAGAGCTCAGCCTGTCCGTTGGAGCTTGGGTGATATGGGGCGATCGTGATATGATTGATCTGGAAAGTTTCACCAGAATCCTTAAAGTCGCCGGACGTAAATTGTGTCGCATTGTCGGAGACGAGACAATCGATTGCCCCAAATCTGGCGAACAGTTCGTGGAGGAAATTGATTGTAATTATGCAGTGGGTTTTCTACATCTAAGGACTTGGGGTCATTTCGAAAAACTATCTACTACTATGAGATAGTAGAATCCGACTAGCGAGCCTGTAAAGTCTATATGTATTCGAGACCATGGTCGGTCCGTTTTAGGCCAAAGTCTATATTTGATTGGGGGTGACTTAGCTGCCAAGGCACAGCCTTTACCGGATTTTACGATGTTTTCGATATCATGTTCGGCCAGTAGACATAACTGCGCATAAGGCTTTTCATCCTTGTAATCCCTGGGCGGCCGGCATGGAAATCTTTCAGAATTCTTCTTTGCAGCGTTGTGGGAATGACGACTCGCTCACTATATAGCAGTACTTCGTCGCATATGGAGAAAATTCGTCCTTTTCACGAATTTTGCTTTTGGTTTTTCTGATAAACTCATCGTTTAGAGCTTCTCGTTTGATTTGATCGAGAGTTACAGGGAGTTCCCTTACTGTGTTTCATAATGTGGTTTTAATTTTTCCTTCTGTTCGAAGAGAAGCAATCACAGTATCTTCAAGAGGTTTCCTGTATTTCGGGATTAATCTGGATAGTCTGAGTTTTTTAGACGGTAGGAACTCCATCTTAAAGTTATAATTTAAGAGGAGTATTCCACATCTCCATAGTCTATTTGCTGTATGCACAGGCAGACCTCTTTTAAGAATTGAAAATGGTAAGTAATGGTTTATGGACCGTCTGCAATGTAAAGTGTCTACCGTGAATGTGCCGGTGAAATTTCGTTACTGCGAAAATAATCCCTAAAGACTCTTTCTCAATTTGAGAGTAGTTCTTCTCTCCAAGAAGAAGTGTTCTCTACGCGTGAGCAACTGATTTGTGAGATCCCGCTGGCATCTTGTGCAGAATACATGCTCCAGTGCCATACGAGCTGGTGTCGCTGGCAACTATAATGTCCAGGTCTGGGTTATAGTGAGTGAGAAACAAGTCCGATGTGAGGACTTCTTTTATTCAGGTGTCCACTCCCAGTTCTTGTTTTTTCAGAAGTTCGTTTAGAGGAGCACGTAAGTTGTGCTTATTAAATATAAATACTTGGTAGTAGTTTGCCAATCCTAAAAAACATTGTAATGAAGAGATGTTTTCGGGAGCTGACATGTTCTTGATTGCGGTAGCTTGTTCTGGGTCTGGTCTTCTTCCATCTTTGTCAATAATGTGCCCTAAGTATTTAATCTTATCCATAAAGAAGTCGCATTTTGATTCTTTCAATTTGAACCCGTACTCCTAAATTCTTGAGAAAACTTTATGAACATGTTCCTTGTTTTGTTCTACATTTTGGCTGTTTATTAATATGTCGTCCAAATATGCAACCTCATTAGTGTCCATTACTTGTTGGAAGATTGCCGGCGCGACCTTGATCCCGTAAGGTAGACGTTGGAACTTGTACAAACCACGATACAGAGCAACTTAGAACATTCTTCCTCTACCGGTATTTGAAGATATGCGTCACTGAGGTCGATTTTTGAAAAAAAAAATCCTCCATTTAGTTTTACGAAAATTTCTTCTGGGCTTGGTAAAGGATAGTGATAGTCTTTGGGTATAGCATTAAGCCTCGTCGAGAAATCGGCGTAGACCCGGATCTCTTTTGACTTCTTTTTCACATAGACGGTCGGTGAAGCCCATTGACTGTACTCAATTTTCAACAAGACCCCGGTTCTTTCTAGTCTGAATTAAAATGAATTAATTGGCATGCCCCTCAACTTAAATTTCTCCATCCAGTCGGTGCCAAATAAATTTTCTGTATTCTTTAATACGTACGTTTTTAGTTTTAACTTCCTTCTATGAAAAGTTACATTAGTGATAAGTCTCCCTCAAACTTTTTCCACTGTCACGGACCTGGCCATTTTATTAAATCTTAGCATGGTTGGTTTTCCCAACTTTTTCAAAGTGTGTAGATTTATGATTGTCAAATCTGAACCAGAATCCAACTGTGATTTGATATTTTTATTTAGGATTTGTACTTTCACGTAATTCCTAATGTTTAACCCATCTTGTTCATCCGATTTTGTGTTTTTTACGCAGCTATTAACCTTTTTTTCTCGCTCGGCAGTGTGAGTTCTTGTGCCCGATACGGCTACAATTTAGACACTTCTTATTCCGGTAAGGGCAATCCCAATGTAGTGATCCACAATCGGAACACGAGTTAGGAGGCAAGTTATCTTGTTTCTTTTTGAACTGGTCAGATTTAGAGGGAGAATTAGATTGTTTTTTCTTTTGGCCTAACTTTCTTATATGTGCTATGCCAGATTCCTCGATGTTTTTCGAATCTTGACGTACGCTTACGAATCCCTGAGTCTTCCGCTATTTGTTGGAGAGTAAGGTTTGGTTCGTTTTCCAATTTGTTCAGAACTCTACGTCTAATTTCAGCGTCTTTAGATGAAACGAGTCCCTGAATAAATATCAGACACTTTGAAAGTATTCGAACTCAATTCTGACAGTTTAAAATCGTCGCAATGCTTGTTCAAGACCGACGCGAATGTAGTGTAATCTTCACTATCCTTTCTGGTTAAATTCATACACTTCCATCACTTATGAAAAAGTTGAAGTTTTAGGACTAAGAAGTTCTGTAAGAAGTTTAACTGCTTCGGTAAATGTCAGTTCGCTTGTTTTACGAGGTAAAATATAGTTCACAAATTTGGTGTGTTCCATGGTGCCTAGTTTTCGAAGTAGTAGGCGAAACTTCTTAGAGTCTGCACAATTCGCGTAATCTTTGGCGTATAAATCCTCGTACCTTCTAAAGTAGGAAGCGAAAGTTATGTCCTCGTCCGGAGAATATGCAAAATTGTCTATTGCGCCCCAGATTGTGTTTTGTGAGAACGCATTTTCGTTTGTCAGTTCAAGCAATATTCTTTGTTCTTGTTGAGTTTGAAGTGGAATTTCTTCAGGTTTTAGTTGTCATGTGTAACAATTTAGAAAATTTATGGATTTCGGCATTTGTCTGCGCTCTCGTAAATGTCCCTCCACATTTTTAACGGTAAGGTAGTGGATATAAAGTACGCAGAGAGAAGCCGTTTGCACAGATTGACCTCGCGCATGCACAGTAAGTTATATTGTTCTCTCTAAGTTCCGTTGTTTATAGCATTTCTTAGAAGGGAGATGTATAGGGTGTGGTCGTCTCACTACACCACAGAGGTTCCATCAGTGACCAAGGCGTGTGCAGCAGTTTTTGACCAATGAAAACATTCCGCAGGTTCGATAACAAAGATATTCCTTTGCTTCTCTTTCCGCTTTCTAAAAATCAAATCACACTTGAAAAGAACAAGTTATCTCAGACGTGGAAATCCAAGAGAATGCGATGAGGCAGCTGCTCGCGATCCCAAAACAGAAGTTCCAGGAATTCTACCCTCAATGGAAACGACGTGTGTGGCTTCAGAAGACTACTTCGAAAGAGATTTAATGCTGAATTGATACGTGTCGTATTTTTCTTTTTATAGTACAAGTCCAGATACTTTATGAACAAACCTAACACACACATACACACACACACACACACACACACACGTGTGTGTGTGTGTGTGTGTGTGTGTGTGTGTGTGTGTGTGTGTGTGTGTGTGTGTTTGGGACCTTACCCATAATAACATAATGGACTATTCCATACGTTATAAATACTGCGCCTCAAGAGGAAGCAGAGAGTTCAGTCCGAAGTCAGACGACCGGCTGATCGGTTGAACTCTCTGCCTTCGGGCGGGGAGGAACCCGAACGAGGCTACGCCGAAGGGCGGAGTCTCTTTCGGGGAGGTAAACCGACCCTGAACCCATTTATACGGGTTCAAAGGGCATATTTTTGGCCGAGTCCACGGGCTCGGAGATCCCACGTTAAACCGGCCTTGTGCCACATGATGCCCTCGTAGGGGGGGGGTGACTAAATACTGTTCAGTCTGAAGTCTGGAGTCAAGTCCGTCAGGAGTCTGTCAGTCAGTCAGAGCGAGCCAGTCAGTCAGTCGAGTCAGAGGCAGTCCGAAACAGAGTCGCGTTCAGACAATTACTACTAAACCTGATTGTTCGTACTAACACTTTCTACTTCTCTGTATATATTCCTGTTTGTAATATATCTGTGTTATTCCATATCCGTATTCGAGTTCTTCTTTATTGGTTCTACCTTGGACTATGACCGTGGTACAAGGAACCGGACCATAACAATATATATATATATATATATATATATATATATATATATATATATATATATTCAAGAGAAACAGAAAGAACATATTTAGATAGATAGATAGATAGATAGATAGATAGATAGATAGATAGATAGATAGATAGATAGATATTTCAGTCAGTTCATGTCTATCAGAATCTATTCATACATATCTATCAACCTGTTCACACATATCTACCTCAATCCAGTCCATATCTATTTCAACTTATTCGTACTTACCTGTCTCAGCCGGTTCATATCTATTTATTTCAACGAATTAATCCGGTGAATTATCGTTCTTCAATAAGCTGCGTTTTACAATTTTTTCTTTTTTTCTTTTTTTTTTTTTTTTGCTGTACTGTCTTGGTCCTACCAAGAATCCCTTTAGAAAGTTGATGTTTGGTCAGATTTTAGAAAATGGATCAAAATCTGTTTTTTGATTCACTTTCCAAAACCTGTCATATGATTATTTTCTTTTAGAGTTATCGCCCATGATTTTTCTTCCAATTCAGTTTTCTTCCTTTTCCCTTTTTTTTCTTTTCATTTCTTTTAGCTTTTTTCTTTTTCTCGTTTATTTTCATCACCTCCTCTTTTTTATTTATTTCCTTCTTATTTTTACTTAATATTTTTCTTTCAACTTTTCTTTCATTACCCATTTGCTTCTCTTTTCTTCATTTTCTTTCTTTTTCTCTCTTTCTTTCATTCGCATATTTTCTTTTCCATCTTCCACTCCTCTCTCTTCTTTTCCTTTTCTCCTCTCTTTCCTCTTTTCTTTCTTTGCTTTTTCTTCTTCCTCTGTTTGCCCAACTTATCGAGCCTTTTGCCGCCTTTTATTCGCCGACATCAAGTGTATTGTTAATTACGTTCTGATATTAGCAAAAGATTTGATCAAAGAGTTGACTGCGGTCAGCCGAATTAAAAACACTATTTATTGATTTTTGCAACAACAACAGCAAGAAAAAGTCACCAAAAGAAGATGTAAAAATATGACGCAAAACAAAATGGCGCTGTTCTTTAGCCTCGATAAACAACATCTCTAAAACATAGTCGCTGCCATCTTTAAAACGGTCCAT